GACTTATCCGTAGTTCTGAACATTTTCTCGATGTCAACAATGAATTATTCTAGCAAACCCGCGTGTTCTGGACAATATATGGATATGGATATTATGATATTTAGATATTTAGACAATTCTCATAATTTTTGCAAAAGGCTGTAAAGGTCCCCTCGCTCACATTTTATGTATTATACATAAAAGCAATTTAAGACTCAGATGTTTGAGGTGTGAACTCTGAAACGTATGTGAAAGTGGAGACTTTGCTCCTGTCAATAATACTCCCATAACTTCACCGCGAACTGCTTTCCAATAATCCCACCAACAACATTCGAGTGACTTTGCGAACATTCACAGGGGAGCTTTGAGCTATAGTTAGATAGAGCGAATTTCGTATGAGTGGGAAACGGACGGTACTGTACTGTGACCGTAATCGTACTGTAACCAAATTCTAGTGCCCCATTGGTTCACCAAAATTGTGCTCGTCCCATTTGCCAAAAGTCGTTAAGCCTCCGCTGATAGACACATGCACAGTAAGAACAAAGTGTAACATTGTCTCTGTTGCTTTAATTAATACAAATATTAAATGTTGATAGGGGTATAGAAATAATGGGGCAAGTTGAAACATTGGGGATGAGATGCTTGATGGGAGATGGACGTAATTCCTATTACACGATTGAAGTATTCATAAATAATTTAATATTATATTATCCTACTATTTAATGTTCTAGTGAAACACTTCAATCTGTGATGTAATTTTCAATCTRATGTGCTTTATGTGCAGTTAATATTAATTCTCTACATAACTGTTCAATTACCTGGGTTTTCTGTTTGGTCATGAGTCTTTGCAGTTTCATCCAAGGCAACTTTGCCTTCTCGTTTTTTCAGTTTAATGACAGGTTGTGTCTGTGTTGGGGCTTTAATTRCTTGAGTTGTTATTTMGCTGTGTTTCTTCTTTGCATTTTGATGGGGGTATGTTAAGGTCTCAAAATCATCATCTGGGGTTGAGTTTTCAACCTTTTCTGTCTTGGTGCATGCAATTTGCAAAGAACTATTTTGGGTAATTGGCTGGATTGAAGTTCTTTGATGAAATTCTTGAAGTTTTTTCAGACGCGCTACACGAATGTTCTCAATCTGCACTCCTGAAAACACAATAATTCCAGTTGATTTATCTTTCTGGCTTTGAAAAGATTAATACAAATGCCACATGCCACTGTTGATTCAAGTGGCTTGATTTATGGAAGAAATACTGGAATGCGGTATCTCTCTAGTATATATTCAAGGTAATTAAATTAAAGGTATTTTAAAATATAATTTCCTTAAATTTATATATAATTAATTTAAGCAAATTATATTATAAATAATATTATAATTTAAGAAAAAAGAATATTACATGGCCCAAAAGTATGATTGGTATCACTGTGCTTTTACATTGTACAATTTCATAAAAAGTGATCGTGGTAAAAAGCTTTTAGCAAATGTAACCCAAAGGCAAGGCCACATTAAATCTGAAGTCAATGAAAGCATTATTAATATTTACCTCAGACATAYAAGTATTAAACAACCAATCAAAAGTAAATTAACCTACAGTCATTTGTAGTTAATGACGTCATCATCAAACATACCTGTAGTCCTTGACTGAGACTTTTTGCTAAAAAGAATTCGATAAACTAAACCAATGGAAACCATGCATAATATCAGTACAATTCCTGCTTCTTTCAAAGTGAATCTTCCAAAAACCTTAGGTAAGGACCATGGAGCTATATTCTTCTTTTTAATTGGTTCTGAATTTTGACGTGCCTGTAAAAGGCAACAAAAATCAGTAATATTTATGATGTTCAAAATACTGGGAGAAAGGAAATGGTCATAATTATTATRAATTATAACTTTTTAGTCTACGATTGCATGATTGCATGGTCTTCTTTGAAAACCTAGTTCTTGAAAACCTCCTTAATCATAGAATAACTCTGCAGCCCTTGTACTTTATTTAGCTTATTTGCCTTGGTTCTCTGTACTAACACTTACTAAAACAGTAATAGCAWTATTTTTAGAGATGTACTTGATATTGCTTAATATGAGTACGGCRGAAAACCTTGACTTTATCCTGGACCTAAAATTTTAATTTTTTWAAAACAATCATGTACCCTATGCTAGACTAAATTGTAGACCCTATCCCAGACTTTTATAACTATTATTCTTATGGTCTCAATTGTTCTCAAGCCTGCCAGGAGATGCTGCCGATCTACACGTACTTGCGAAATCGTTGTCATATAGAAAATAGGACATTTGTATTTAGTAAAAAGGAATAAATCAAAAAGACAAAAGAAGATCACTGAGGCTGAACACTCTCTTTTGTCTTGTTTTAATTTATTCCTTCTTACTAAATTCAAATGTTGTATTTTCTATGACAACGTTTCTGCAAGTAGGTGTATCCACTTACATACTTTTTGAGACCTGAAATTCTAGATCAGCACCGAATCAGAAAAGTGATCACTCACCAAAACATCTTGAAGATATCTTGCCATTTCCTTGTGATCCAATGTTCCATCTTTATTCCTGTCATACAAGTCTGATTCCTAAAAGTAAACCAARCATGTGTTTCTTGGGTAAATTACTTCCATGATCCACAATTTAGTCTTAAAAAAATATTTATAATATTGCTTCTGATAATAATATAATAATAATAAATCGTTTATTTGCCACATTGCAGAATTAACTGAATTAAAGGGCTAAGGATTACAAAATATATGAATAAATGTATGAACAAGAGTATATC